TTTAGTAAAATTCAGATGAAAATCTTTTTTCCCATACACCTAATTTTTTTATTATCTATTAGAAAAGTTGTAACAGAAATCTTGCTTTTAATAATAATATTATAATGTCGTCAAAAAAATCATTTTCTGTAAGTTTTTGTTTATTTTCTCAACATTATCTGGAAGCTGTAAAATCTACTTTTAGTAGATATTTTAAATGTTTTTAATAAACTTTTAGTGATGGTCATAAATTATTTAATTGTGTAAATAGCGTACATTAATTTTCTTTAACTTTAATTAATTTTATAAAGTTCATTAGTTAATCATTTCATTTGTGTGTAGAATGTAATACAAAACACAAAAAAACGAAGACAAAAAATAGCGTGATGATTGAATTATTGTAGTACCTGCTTGAGAGATCGAAGTTCTGTACCACCTAACATAAATAATAAACACTGGTATTCTTATTTTCAACTTCCCGTAGGAAAGTCATAGCAATCGCAAAAAAAAATTCGAAAATAAAAATGATTATATAAGTTTACGTTTCGAAACATTCTAAAAATTTTGGCATACATTAAAAAATGGATGTATGTGTGTTTGTATGCCAGTTTTTGAGAGAATGGGGCGTCCGATATCAATAATTCAAAAAACATTTTACTTGTACTGAAAAATGAAGAGCTGATTAAATTTTTGGGAAAGCAGTTATAGCCGTTTACGAGATCTAATGAAAAAAGTAAAAAAAAGTCCTAACAGATCATTAAGCCCTGTTCACACGACGCTTATTTTCTGGAATAGATAGCATGCTCGATTGTGTCGCGCTAGATTTTATGATAGTTTTTCAAGCCGTTTGCTACACACGATACGAGAAATCTTGCTTGCTCTGCGTGAGATTTATTTTAGCTTACAAGATTTTCAAATACGATACCACATGACAAAATACATTTAAACTAGTTGGTTTGGTATTTAGCCTTGAGGCAAGTTACATGAACTTCCCGATATGTGTAAATAATCGACTTAATCAAAAAAATGTGTAAATAATATACTTCATTAATCCTACTTAAAAAACGATAATAATTTTAGCAAAGTTTGACGAATTTTTAAGATTAAACTACTTGTCGTAAGGCCGCAATATTACAGTATGTTCTATAAGACCATGATGTATATCGCCAAAAAAAATTCCATGAAAATCGGCTTAAATTTTTTTTCAACAGGTAATTACAAGGAAACGGCTCGGTAGATTTTCACCTAAAACTAATCAGTACCATTCTCAACCAATATCTTTCGAACAGTTTTTGATTTTTTAAAATCGGTTCGGTAGGATGAGCTTAAATGTGGATGAAAAATTTAACACTTTTTTTCAACAGTTAATTACAAGAAAACGGCTCGGTAGATTTTCACCTAAAATTAATCAGTACCATTCCCAACCAATATCTTTCGAACAGTTTTTGATTTTTTAAAATCGGTTCGGTAGGATGAGCTTGAATGAGGACGAAAAGTTTAACACTTTTTTTCAACAGTTAATTACAAGAAAACGGCTCGGTAGATTTTCACCTAAAATTAATCAGTACCATTCCCAACTAATATCTTTCGAACAGTTTTTGATTTTTTAAAATCGGTTCGGTAGGATGAGCTTAAATGTGGACGAAAATTAAACACTTTTTTCCAACAGTTAATTACAAGAAAACGGCTCGGTAAATTTTCACCTAAAATTAATCAGTACCATTCCCAACTAATATCTTTCGAACAGTTTTTGATTTTTTAAAATCGGTTCGGTAGAATGAGCTTAAATGTGGACGAAAATTTAACACTTTTTTTCAACAGTTAATTACAAGAAAAAGGCTCGGTAGATTTTCACCTAAAATTAATCAGTACCATTCCCAACTAATATATTTCGAACAATTTTTGATTTTTTAAAATCGGTTCGGTAGGATGAGCTTAAATGTGGACGAAAAGTTTAACACTTTTTTTTCAAATTACAAAGAAACGGCTTGGCAGATCGTTGCACAAAACTGACAAACGAAATACATCAAATGGCTTTTAAATTTCTAAAATCGGTTCAGGCGTTTTTGAGAAAACGTCGAACAAAAGTCTAATTTTGACAAATGCCAAAAAGACCATACTGATTTTTGCAAACTTTGACAAATTTTTAAAGCTGAACCAGTTGCCGTAGGGCCGTAATATTTTAGTATGATCTAGAAGACTATGGTATCTATCGTCAAAAAAACAATCATAAAAATCGTCGAAATTTTTTTTTTAAAACTTTATTACAAGAAAACGGCCCGGCCGATCTCTACCAAAAACTAATCAGCACGATTCCCAGCCAATATCTTTCGAACGGTTTTTGAATTTTCCAAATCGATTCAGAATTGCGGGCTAAAACGTAGACGAAAAATTTTTTACTTTTCTGCCATTTATAAAGAAACGGCTTGGCCGATCGTCGCACAACACTGACAAACAATAGTTCTCGTTGAGATACATCGAATGGCTTTTAAATTTTTAAAATCGACCCAGCCATTTTCTCGAAAACGTCGATTTACGGCAAAAAATCTGTTCACATACACACACACACACACACACATACTTTTTCCAAATTTGATCTCATTCGATTCAGAATGGCTTGAAACGTCGAGAAAACATAAAATTAGCGAATCGGATTTTTTGATGAAAACATAAACTTCTCCTTCGGGAAGTTAAAAAACATTCTAGTTTGGGAAAGGCAGGTCTAGCCGTTTCAAAAATACGGAGCAAATAGTGCCTAAATGGTATTTCTGATTTTATAGGTGTTGTTCTTTTTTTACAAAACAAATGCAAAGTATTTGTTTTTGTTTTCCTCGAAATGTATTTATCATAAAGACATGCGGTTTTTTTCAAACAAAAATTACAAAATCATAGAATATTACGATTTTTTTTTCTTTTTTTTCGCTGTTATTTTCTAACCAGGGGGCGACAAAGTCGGCCTTGCAAAATCGAACTCTTTTGCGGTGCCGCAGATAAATCCGTTGCGCATCGCATGAAACAAAAAAAAAGAAACTACGTTGAAGAAGAAAAAAAGCAAGAAGGAAAAAAAGGCAGCTATTTAAAAAAAAGTGTCAAAAAAGGCCTTTTTTGGGGACGAGAAGCTTTGCAAAATTTTTTTGCGTGATGTTATCAAGTTGTTTGAGGTAGGGGGACTAGGTATTGCAGTGGTAAACAAATAAAAAAAAAATGCAGGTCGATCCGACTTGTAGTTTTTTTTTTTTAATTTGTGGCACCGCATTGACAAAAGTCAATTTGAGAAAAACGTATTTAAAGTTTTTAATATAATGTACTAAATACACTATTTAATTTAATGTCCCATGTAGAAATTAATATGGTCTGAATCTACAAGCAATATACAATCTACATTGGTCAAATTTGAAACCAATATCGGCTGGTCATAAAAATTGAACATTTTTTATATTGAGGCCATATAGGTAAACCAACATTGGTCTATATTGGTTTATATTTGGAAATTTGGAACCAATGTTGCCTACAAATTGTTGAATGTTGGTAAGGTAATATACAATTAGACAGAGAGCTGGTAAACATTTAGAATTATAAATTATTGAATTATTCTGAAACTTATAACTGATGTTGAAATATTACACAAATATTTGAAGATTTGAAGTTGAAATAATATAACGCATAAATCAATATCATTTATTTAACAATAAAACACCTTAAATGAACATTAACGTAAATTTATTAAAAATGTTTTTGTGGAAATTCATTTATTAAATATAAACAATGATACAAATATATAACTGCATTAAAAATATGATTATTCATAAAACACAAAAGTGTCATGAATATTGATTATTTTTTAATGGATATTTATTAATACATATCAAGTATTTTTTTTTTATAACAATAACAAAGGCAAATTAACTTTCCTATTTACAACATCGTCACTCGATAAAATATTGTACAGCACCTGAACATATTTTATTCGTTGTTAATATATTTATTATCCATTATGAAATATTTATTTCATCATCTAGAACAGTCATTGGGAAACCTACATTACATTTGATATATATCAAGTAAATTATTTATTTATTTATTTATTTATACGCCAATCGGCTTTATACAGTTTTATAATATTGTTTGCTAATTCATAACTTGTATATTTATATCTATATACATATACACACAGATATATACACATATATATACATACGTATACACATACATACACATCTACTTACATACAGATAGACATACATATATACTCAATTTAAATCGAATAACAACAACAAAATTAAATTAATTTAACTATTTATAACATCGTCATTCGATAAAACACTGTACATCATCTGAACATATTGTATTCATTGTTAATATAAATATTATTCATTATGAAATATTTATGAAAGCATTGAAATGAGGTTATGAAATTTATCTCATCGTCTAGAACAGTGATTGGGAAATTTTTTCAATCATAACCCCAAAATATTTTTGACCAAGTTTGCATTGTCATTTAAAACTTGTATTCCTTGTTTATTATATCTATTATTCAATATGAAATATTTATGAAAGCATTGAAATGAGATAGTAAAATAGGATTGACTTAACTCTTTCCTTTAGTAATGATAACTTTTATCTTATCGTCTAGAACAGTGACTGGGAAACTTTTTTAACCATAACCCCAAAATATTTTTGTCCAAGTTTGTATTGTCATCTAAAACCTTGTATTCCTTGTTAATATTTTTATTATATATCATTATATATTATCAATATAAATAATTTATGAAAGCGTTAAAATGAGATTGTAAAATGTAATTGACTCTACTTTTACCTTAAAAAATAATGACTTCATATCATAGTCTAGAATCTTGCTATGCAAATGTACAGATTTATTGACATTCTACATTGCATTTATTATTATCAAACATTATGATTATTCTGTCAAAATTTATATCTTTCCTTTCTACAACTTATTTAGTTACAAACTTTTGATGAAAACCTTTTCGATAAAATTTTACTACTAAGCAAACCAGTTTCTCTATTTTCTGCGCTTACAACAATATTACCTGAAAATAAATAAGAATGCGTTTTAAATGCAGAAGGAAATAATTATATTATAGCAACTATTGAAGCTTACCTTTTCTAAATATGAAAGTATAGAAATTTTTTCTCTCTACTATATTATTATTTCCTGAAAATAAGTAAGTATAAGTTTTAAATGTATAGACAGAATAATATTGAGAAGTATTATATGCATTCACCTGGTAGTATAACCTCGTAAAATAATCCTTGCCAGAAATTAAGTTATGTTATGTTTGATGTCTATAATATATTTCATATAATATATACGGCAGATTTCTCAACGCTGTTAAACTCCTGATCAAATTGGAAAATCTTAGTGTAAAAATGTTATTGAAGACATGCAAATCTTGTTGAAAATATTATCGAAAATTTCAGCTTCAGACAAATATAATTAAACATTAGACACGACACAACACTTCTCACTGTTATATTTTATTTACAACTTATAGCTCATAACACAACCTACACACATACACACATTATCACTATTTTTTAAATTAAAACATAATTTGATTATTTACAAACGAACAAAAAATACATTTCACTAAGTGACGCTACCGCATTCTCTATGCATCAACCATTTTGTTGTGTTAATGCGCGTCAATCATCGAATTTACTAGAAACGTAAATCAAAAAGTCAAAAAGTAGAAAACTCATAGCTTTATTAAATTCAAGATATTTAATAAATTCGTAAAGAAATCACAATATATATTATTATATATTATTAAATTTGTCTTAGAATACTTAGTTTTTCTCTCATATAACTAATCTTCGTATTGTAAACCGTTTGGAAAATAAGCTAGTCGGAGTCCTGTAATTTAATAAAAAATTCCAAATTCATATTGTCATAGATAAACCATGTAAAGTATTATACATTGTTAGAATCGTCTCAAAATTTTTAATTTTTTCTCCATATATCACAACTTTGTATTTCAAACGGTTTGGCCTATGGGCGAGTTACAGTGCTAAAATTCAAGAAAAATTGAAAAATCTGAAAATAATTATATGAACACACATATTGAATTATATATCATTTTATTCGTAATTTTATTCTACATTTTTTGTCCGAATTAACTTTTTACGTATCTGTAACCTTTTAGCTTGTAGTATTGAATATTCGTGAAAAATCACATGGTTAAATATTTAAAGGCTTATGTCTCGCGTATATTGCTTTCGTTCTGTGCGAGTCGTTGGCCAAGCGGTAGCGTTGCTGGCTCTTAGTCTCGTAGTCTCAGGTTCGATCCCAGAGAAGACTTTTGTTTTTTATTTTAAATATAATAACAATAATTAAGATTTTTTTTTTAATTTGGGCTAATTTGATTCAGAATGACAAAATTCGACAAAACATATAATTAGCAATGTGGATTTTCCCAAGAAAACAAACCTCTACTGTGGGAAACAATATTTATTATTAACATTAGAACAATATTTAATAGTCAATTATAAAAAAATGTTGCATCAATATTTATTTTTTATCTTGAGGACAATATTAGCTTATGATAAAAAATTTTGTACCCGATGATAAAATTTTTTGCAGAAATATTTATTTTTCAATTTGACGATAATATTTTGTACCTGATGATAAAAAATGTTGCATCAATATTTCTATTTCAATTTGTGGACAATATTTGTCAGTTGATGATGAAAAAATATTGCATCAATATTTATATTTCACTTTGAGAACAATATTTTTTAGCCTATGATAAAAATGTTGCATCAATATTCATATTTCACTTTGGGAACAACATTTTTTAGCCGATGATAAAAAAATATTGCATCAATATTTATATTTTAGTTAAAGGACAATATTTATCAGCCCATGATAAAAAAATGTTGCATCAATATTTCTATTTTATTTTGAGGACAATATTCATCAGCCGATGATAAAAAATATTGCATCAATATTTCTATTTTAGTTTGAGGACAATAATTATCAGTCGATGATAAAAAAATATTGCATCAATATTTATTCTTTTATTTGAGGACAATATTTATTAGCCGATGATAAAAAATATTGCATCAATATTTCTATTTTAGTTTGAGACCAATATTGGACAAGGCCATTTATAGAGATTATTGCCTCAATATCGGCTGACGTTGGCCTGGTCGATTAGTTGACATCATCACAGAACCGACGTTCGCCGATATTTGTGCAATATAGGTAATCACGGCCACAGAAAACCAATATTGGTAATATATTGTACCGATATTAATTTCTACATGGGGTACTAAATACGCCATGGTGTTCAAAGATGCTGACACATTAAAAAGGTCATGTGCATGAGGTGTTATAATGAAAAAGAGAGCAGCTGGCATACAAGAGCTCCGGAGCGATAAAAAAAACGGTTTCAGAGAATTATACATATAGAGATATATATATATATATATATATATATATATATATATATATATATATATATATGTATATATATATATCTATAACTTCGTCAAAAAACTAGATATTGAGATGAGAATTTTTAAAATAATTTTAGGGTTTTTAGCTTTCATTATATCAAAAAATCTCAAAATCGAAAAAAATAAATAAAAACCAAACAACCCCCTTAAGAGAACAGAGAGTCCGATTTGAATAATTCAAGAAATATTTTACTTTAGTTACAATTTAAAATAAACAACTGGCGAAATTATTGAGAAAGCATGTCCAGCGTTTTCGTAAATCCGATAGAAAAAATAAAAAATAATGCCATTTGGCAACCAAAAATAATCATACGACATATGCACATGGTATTTCCAAATATTTTATAGAGATTATAATAATAAGTCCCAATTTTGTGTTTATTTATATGGGTTCTGATAATTCTACTCGGCAACAGCTACATTGCGCAATTACTTTATAAAAAATTCATAATTTTCAAAAAAAATCAAAATATAAAAAATTCGATTTTTTTTTGAAAATTTCAAAATTCAAAGTTTTGAAAAAAAAATTAAGTTATTATAATAAAAATATTTTTTTGTACGGGAAGTTTTAGATATTTGCCAAGCACCAAGGCACTATGCGATGCACCACTAGTTATGCACATTATTTTATTGAATTTGTGGGAGTTTGGCACGTCGTGACAGAAATGGTAGTAAGCGGTGAGATAAATAAAAATGATGTACGGGTTTTGTTTTTAGTTTTTAGGCTTTAAGCCCGGTGCACACGACGCCAGTATTTCTTAGATTTCTGTCAAGTTGTTCGGTGATATGGGCAAAAATTTTGCGTCAGATTTTTACTTATTTTATGATTAATAATAATTTTTTGCATTTTCAAATAGATTATTATAAATGTATACTGTGAATTTTATAATTCATATTTCATAGGCCTAAAATGCTTTACGCTTACAAGCGTACAAACAGACCATTGTACAAAATGTAAACAATGAATATCTATATATATATATATATATATATATATATATATATATATATATATATATATATATATATATGATAAAATTGTTTCTTGGGCATCCATCCAGTAATTAAAAAACAGTTTTATTGAAAAGTGTTTTTATTTAGAGAAACATATGTTTTGGGTCTTGATTTGACCCATCTACAGTGCTTACAAATAAGTTTAAAAAAAAATAACACAAAAACACATAAAATTGCACTAAAAAATAATTAAATATGAAATAAAAAATTGATAGGACATCAAGTTATGAATTTTTTTTAAAAAAAATAGTAAAATTAAAATAAATAATATATTTTATTATTTAAAGTATATAAAGTATATAAATTTTAAATTTATATTATAAATATATATTTATATATATATATTTTATATATATATATATATATATATATATATAACTGGTGTTAACTTGGCTGCACATATATGTATCGTATCGGATTAAGATGAATTCATAAGATGATTTAATCTCATATTTCTAAGAATTAAATCAAGTAATAATAATAAAAAGATAATAAAATGCTGCATTTCAACATAACAATTATTGATTTTCAAAATCATAGTATCTTTATTGAATATATTGTTATAAAAATATTAAAAAGGTTATGAAAAGATTAGTAAAAGTTTTATGTAAATTTAATATTTTTAAATTTCAAAAATTGTCGAATTTAAAAAAATATTAAAATTCAGTTTTGTTCATAATTTTTTTTTTTTTAAAAAAAATTTGAGTATTTTTGCAAATTTCGAAGTTTTTGTAATAAAACGATTTGAATTTTTTTTTAATTTTCTGATATTTCAGATAAAATTACAAAAATTTGAAAAAAATGCATATTTGAATTTTTTCGGGAGTTGAATTACATGAATCAAGCACACATTCATATTCACATGACAAAATACAGGTTTCTCATTGGACACTAAAAGTATCGGCCACAAAACAATTCGTCCATCGCCAAATAGGACATGCTTTATTCGTATGCAACGGTTATAGACAGAAATTATGTTAAAGATACTGCCGTTGTAAATATAGAGGTTAGACGTAAAATTTCGCTGGCTAGATCGTAAATTATATCGGGTAAATCGTTGCTAAGTAACAAACTGTCCGGCATGCACTAATCAGGAAATCTGGCGTCGTGTGCACCGCGCTTAAGATTGATGTTGTCAGTTATGTATTTATTTTTGAATTTAAAAAATTCGATATTAAATAAAAAGTTTTATTCAAATATTTCGTAACTCTACTAATTCCAAAAAATTAATTAAAGTATAAATGAATGTCTCCAGAATTTTATTATTTTGTTTGCTGCAATACGGTTCTAGCAAGAGGGAGATGCATGCAACATTTAGCGAGGATCTGTTCATCACTATGTTTCCTAAAAAAATTATTTCTTGACAAGTCGATATTTTGTGGATATCTAGGAAACCAAATTTGTAGCCAATAGATTGCATTTATAAGAAAATAATAATAGTAATAGACATCGAATGTAGGGGAAAGTCCCCGAGTGCCGGGCACCTAAGGTTATTTATAAATAAATCAAAAAATGTTTTACGAAATGTTTATTAAATTATGATTTATGTTAACAGATAACAAAGTTAGAAATCAAACTAAATTAACAAAAATGAACCTTTGCCAAAAAATAATTAATACTATCAATCAAACTTTGGTAACCAAAAATATGATTTTACAAAGTGGCACCTAGTACCGGACATTTCAAAATAACCAGCACTGAACACATATGTAGATATCTTCATACTCTGGAATATCTGCACATATGTATTTGACGAAAATTCTTAGATATTGCAAAAAAATCACCACTTATTCACCCTTTTGGCTGGGCCATACCGATGCTCTTAG